CCATCTCCTTCTCCTCCTGCCTTCAATCTTCCCGGCATCAGGGTCTTTTCCAATGAGTTGGCTATTTGCATTAGGTGACCAGAGTATTGGAGCTTCAGCTTCAACATCAGTCCTTCCAATGAATATTTAGAGTTGATTTCCTTTAGGATTTACTGGTTTGACCTCCTTGCTGTCCCATAACCTTGGTATCAAAATATTTTCCACAAAAATTTCTTAAGAAATTACTGTAAACCATGCAAGTAGTGAGAGAGGTGAGACTAATTAATGCAACACACCATTGGCCATCAGGGAGCAGACCTTGTTGGAGGGGTGTTAGAGACCTGCCTATAACATAGTCCTGTTTATAGAATACAGGCACAGACCCAGAGCTTATGGAGTTCATGGGAAGGAGAGATAACTGGAGGTTCTGAGAACACATAATCCAGAAATGGTACAGGCTTTGATTTCGAAGGCTGGGCAGGATTCCAACAGTCATAGGGAGGGGTTAAGGCTGGCTGCTTCCTGTCTTCCCTGGTTCAGAGTCGATACTGCCTATTTCAGGGAGGTATTATTTAATAAAACACTTCTTTGATCATGCAACTTTCTGGCTCAGAAACTTTAAATACTTTCTGCTGCCTTCAGTGTAATGACCAAATTCTCCATAATTGGCCCTAACATAGAGTTATTGTACTAGGTGGCTTTTAAGGTCATTTATAAATCCTTCTATGGTCCTATAATTTTTGCCATAATAATTTTTCTTTGTACAGCTTCCCTACATGCCCCATCTTTCTACCTACTAGCTTTGCATATGCTACTGCATTCTCTTAGAATGCAGTTGATTTTCTTCCTCTAATAAAACTTTACTTCAAAAAAAAAAAAAAAACACTTCAAGTTTTCTATGAAAATCTCAGATCAGACCAAAATGATCTTTTTTGTCTCTGAGCATTCAGAGAAATTACTGTGTATGATTTATTTGATAAATGGTCAAACATACCCCTTGGCACATTCTTCTATTAGTATAGTCTTTTATTGCATATGCACATGGACATGGATAGAAACAAATAATGCAAAAAAATCTTTTTGAGATGAGGTAAAAGTGGATTACTTTTCTTTGCATGTCTTTCAGTGTGCTCTTATTTTTATACAATTTAAACATCTTGTTGTATACTTTCAAAGTCATTATGTCTCAACATTAAACTAATTAACCTAATTTGTTCTCATGTGTTTTAATGTTCTGGTGAAGGCTTCCACAGTGACTTGTGTGTAGTAGGAATTTATATGTTTAATAACAAATATACACACAGATAATAAGATATGGTGGTAATTATATCCCATGTTTGAAACAGAGGCACTTTTATTGGCTTTCTATTGCAGCTTCACATATTTATTTTTTCAGAACTTATCCCTTTGTTATTTGTGTTTTGTGTATGTATATCACTACCCACACCAGATAAACTGTAGGCTCTCATTACAAGGACCATACCTTATTTATGTTTATATGTTCCACAGAGTGCCTTTCAGTTAATTGATGCCCTAAAGTTTTTCACTTATGTCAAATTAAAACATTATATGTAGCTGTGTTGTACAATATTTCAGAGATAACCAGTTAAAGACCTATCACCAAGGATATATCCAAAGACTTAAATGAACTTCCACATCCTTACATGGTTTTCTGTGAACACATTTTTTAAAATAAGTATTTTGAGATACTTTCAGTTCAGTTATCATTACATTCCTAAGGATTATGATAAAGGATGTTTTCTAACTAGGCAGCTTATTTTTTTTTTTTATTATGTTATTTAATGGAGTAACCTTAAGTACCTAAATACATCATTAATGGCAATATCTTTGAATTCAGGGGACCAGTTCCTGCAAAAAAAATTATTTTTTTTAGGTGAAAAGTAAGGTAATTTAGTATTTGTTCTAACCCTAATATCTAAGATTAGCTTATAAAATAAATATATTTTCCCCCTGAATATTGTTACAAGTGATAGATCCTATATATGCATTATTTAGTAACTGAATATTCTTTCTCAGCAGAACGTCTCTTCTGGTAGATTTCATAAGCATCTGAGAGTGACTGCATCTCAAGGAATCTTGGATCTAAAAGGCACTTAAGAAGTGCCTAGTACAATCCCTCACTCCTTGTCTCTGTCTCTCTCTTAACACACACACACACACACACACACAGACACACACACACATACACACACACTTTATAGCCAAGAAAGCCAAGAAACTAAGGTCCATTTAGTTCATAGTGTTTGCCTAAGTTAGTACAAGGAGTTATCCACAATCTATTTTTTGCTTTATATTCAGCTTCTTTTATATGATTTTAAGGAGACCCATAGATAATTTGAAGGTCCCCAATAGTTCACCTACTCCAAAGTAAACACCTGTAAGCCTGCCATAGTTTGAAGTTGCCACTTCCAGTCAGTGGTTTATTTTAAAACAGTTCCCCTTAAAAGAACTCCAAAACACAAGTAGATGCTTGGGAGAGATGGCCATATCCATGAAGAAGGCATGGTCACATTGTAGTAGTAGTTTTCCCGTTTCTTTCCAGAAGAGAGAGGAAAGCTTGGAGGATCCTGGAGAAAGAAAACATGGGGTCTGAAGCCCCAGGAGGAGGAGTAGTTTAGATACACTCTGTGCCTCAGGGAACGGTGGACAGTCAGAAGTCAGTGTGGGCCACAGACCCAACCTTCACCTCGTTCACAGCCTCGCCATAAATACCTGAGTGATATAGATGTGGATTATGAAGAGAAGGTTAGAGAGAGGTGAATCTCATAGTGATTAAGGAAATCACTCATTTAACTAAAAACTAGAAAAATAAGAACCGAAGGAGAAAAGCTAAACTCTGAAATTAGCAAAGTAAAAAAGAAAGCTGCACACAAAATATCTTTAGTAATCAAATACAGTGTGGCCTTTCAGCTCCTACCTCTTCCCCTCCCTCAGGTATATGTAGTATATAGTTTTTTATGAGTGTAAGGGGAAACAGCTTAAATACATCATGGGAGATTATTAAAGATTGCCATTTTGAGCAACTGTCCTAAGTGTGGTGTTGATTTCTGATGTGTTACTGAACTATAATATCCTACTACTTTAAACAGTTGGCTGATGACCTAAACCTACCTTTTCTCTGTTTTAGACTATTTCATTGACCTCTGAAACAGCTTTTATAAACAGCTAAACAACTAGTCAGAGGGCTCAGTATTGCTAGTCTTCTCAAAATAACCAAAATGAGTTGTATTGTCTTATATTGATATGTGTTTACTCATGGACTCATTGAAAGAAAGCCTTTATTCTTTTGAGAGACAGAGTAACATAGTGCCTAATCATGAGAACGCCGGAGTTAAATGTTGGGGTCATATCTGGAATCTCATCTCCTCTGTGCTTATGTCGTAATACCAGCCTCATTGGATTTCTCATTCAACAGATATTTGTTGAAGGCAGCTATACACCAGGTAGTTTCTAGGCACTGGGGTTATAGCAGTGAATGAAACAGGCAACACCCCCTGCTCACAAGGAGCTTTCATTCTAATGGAGGGAGGCAGATAATAAACACACACAAAAAAATCAGTGGAAACTCTACAGTGTGTTTTAAGGTGAAAAATGCCATAGAGAAAAATAAAATAGCATAACGAGAATGAGACTCCTAGAGGAAGGGAAGGAGTCAATCTTAAACAGGGTGGTTGTGATAGGTCTCATAGAAAAGATAAATTTGAATGAAGACTTGAAGGAAATGGTGTTGGGAGGCATGCAGGTATATGGTGGGAGTGTATCTTTAAGGCTGGTGGAGGAGCTAGTGTAAAGTCTTTGAGGTGGGAGTGTGCCTGGTGAGGTTAAAAAAAATAAAAGATCAGTATGGCTGGACCTCATTAATGAAAAAAGTGGAAAACAGGAGGAGATGAGTCAAAGAGGTGAGAGTGGGTTTCAGGGACTTTGCAGACCATTGTAAGAGTTTTGACTTTTACCCTGAGTGTAATTGTGTTGCACAGCAGTAAAGGGTTTTGAGGAGAAGAATGAGATGAACCCCCTTTTAAAAGTATCACTCTGGCTTCTGTGTTGAGACTAGACATTATGGGGACACATGTGTAAGCAGAGACCAAAGAGTAAGTGATTGTAATGGTGCAAGTAAGAGATAATGGTGGCTTAAACCAAGGTGGTAGCAATGGAAGTGGTAAAAAGATGCTGAGTTTTAAATACATTTTGAGAAGTAGAATCAATAACATTTTTTGATGATTTGATGTAGAAGTAATAGAAAGAGGAACCAAGGATTTGGCTTGAGCACTTGGAAATGAGGAATTGCCACTAATTAAGAAGGGGAAGAATGTAGATAGAAAGGAATTTAGGGAGGCTATTACAAGTTCAGTTTTCGTAGGTTAAGTTTGAGATGCCCATTAGACATCCAGTTGGAAATGTTGAGTTGTTGAAAACATATGAGTCTAGTATTGGCAAGATGGGTCCAAGCTGTACTAGCGCTTGTTAGCTGAGTAACTTTGGGAAAGACACTTAGTGTCCCTGTGACTCAGTCTCTCCATCTGTTACTATTGGTAACTACCTCACAGGGTTAAAATTTAAATAAAATCACTAATACCTGTAAGTGCTTAGAACATGACATACACTCAAAAAGTGCTAGCTATCAATTTTTAGTGCTACAATCTTGTATGCCTGTGGGACATCACAAATACCGTACACTCAAAAAGTGCTAACTATCAATTTTTAGTGCTACAATCTTGTATGCCTGTGGGACATCACAAATACCGTTATTAACATAGCAATACAACTTTTCTTCCTATGGTGTATTATTTTTGTATATTTTTGATTTGTGATTAACTGGTTGGTTCTAGAAGTTCCACTGAGTTGGTTTTGCTTCCAGAATTAAACTGACCTGGATTTTTTATATTGCCCTGCCTCAGTTGATATATATTTAATGCCTGTATTTATTTTAGTATCTGTTACTTGTTCAGAAAAAAAATCTTATGAGTTTCTTCAGTGCTACTCTCCTTTGCTTTTCTCAGTGCTCAGCAGAGAAGCAGTCAGGTTCACAAGAAAAACACAATTGGAAATCAGGTAGGAATTGTTTAAAAGAATCAGTGCATGCATGCTCCAAAGAATTTGAACTAAATTGCTTGATTGACTTTTTTAACGCAAATTAATCATGTGCAAATTTTGCTGGAAATGCAGCTTTTTCTTTGTTTTGCTTTTAAAGTTTTTGGAGTTAATTGCATTTTTGTTTGTTTGCTTGTGTTGGCTATTTTATGCAGTTAACCCTATTGATTTATTTTAAATAACTTTTCAGCTATTTGCTCTGCTTTTCAAATTTGACTCCTTGTGTCCTACTTTGCTTGCTTATATTACCCCTAAATTTGATTTAACATCAAACTTGTGAGTCAGTTCAAGGTTAAAATATGGTGAGTAGTTGCATGAGCTTTCTGGTGCTGCTGACTAGTTCACACATTTGCACAGCTTGGTAACAGTGAAGGGACAGCTCATAAAGAAGGCAGCTGTTGGATATAAGATTTAATCTCCGCCACGCCAAATCATGTTGGTTAATGAAGATGTTAATTCCTTAGTAGTTCTGATCTTTTGAGTTTTCCTGTTTTGGGCTGACCAGCTGTCTCCAACTAATAGCGCTCTGCAGAGACTGCATTAACTCTGACAGTTTGTTTCTTTTATGTTTTATGTGATAATGAATATTTGCATTGTTATTTCTTTTCAAGTCAAAACAATGATGATTTTATAGTTTTCTTTTTTTTAAATTCAGAGGTACAATTATTGAACAAATTGAAACCTCTGCTCTAGATTTTTTTCCATTGTTTTGAAAGGAGAAGAGGTAATAATAGACTTTATTTTAAAAACTTTTTTTTCTGAACTAAAGCATATAATTCTTTGCTATTTCAGGGAACCAATCTTCCGCCTTCAAGGCAAATTGTACGAGCTAAGTTCTGTAAGCTTTACTGTTGCTTTTTCATTTAGCTTCCCAAGGGCACAGTTTGTCTTTAACTGATTAACTCAACTAGCGCTTGCTACTAATTTTTTTAAACGTAGATTGTCTTGTCCATAACACCCTATCATTGAAATAAAAATCCTCTTAAGAGGGTTCATCCCTTCACTGCTAATAACTTGCTGTGATTGAAAGGTATGAACTAGTGAATTCTAAAATGCTATAATAATAAACATTTAACACTGTGGGTGCTTTGATATTTCTCTAATTTTAATGGGCCTTAAAATAATTAAAATCATTAATGACCTTCACCTCTGTCCTTTTATGCTATGTTGTTAAGAGATGTAAGCCTTTCTCTTCCCTTTGTATGATATTTCCAATAAATGTAGATGACACTTCTAAAAGGTGGGTGAATATTAAACATTTGATTTTGATATACCTGTTGATAACCCTACCCAATATCAATTACTTATATTTATTCTTTTAAAAATAGTAAAACAAAAAGCAAAATTACATTGATTGACATTTTATATGGCTTAAAGTTTTAAAACCAGATGCTATATCTTCATTTAATGGAATTATAAAATATAGTCAAATTACTAGCATAGGCATTAGAAGAAAGAAGCAATTATACTCATTTATAGCATGGGTGAGGCAGCCCTGAAGTCTTTCTTCCAGCTGTGCATAACTTGAAAATGAGATTGGAGGATGGGTGAATTATTTTTTTCATGATGTTTTGGAACAAACAAACTTTGTAGCTAGGTATTCCTTGGTTCAAATTCTCCTCTGTCACTTAGTAGCCCTGTGGACTTGGACAAATTGAACCTGAGTTTGCTCAATTGTGTGATGGGAAGAATAGAAAATTTCTCTGCCAGGTGATTGTGAGAACCAAAAATAATCTCCATAATGAGGTTTGCAGCTTACTAGATATATGCCCTATAAAGAGTAGAAACTTTGCTCCAAGCAAGTAGGTGTTGTTTCTTGAAACTTTGGGGAGAAAAAGAATATGAAGTATAAGAAAATTATGACTTATAAAATGAGAAGAATGAAACATTTGGAAAATTAGAAGCTATAGCATTTATTTTGTAGATTACAGTGCCCAGATTAAGTCTGGGTGTGACATAGTGGTTTTATCTATAAAATTTTGTTCATGGTCAGAAGCTGTATCTCATAGAAGTTTATGCTCATTGGAAAAGCATTAGTATAGTGGCATAAATGCACATTCTGAATCAGATCTGAAAGGAAACTCTGAACATATTGCTTCCAAATGCTAAAATCATGCTAATTGTGTTTCTGTGCCTTTACTTTCACTGAGTACTTCAAAGCCCATGCATTATGAAAGTTTTATAACTCAAGATAATAGAATTGGGGTGAGTGTTATAAAAGAATACAGATAGCATATCCAAAACCTCTGGGGCCAGATGTGCCTTAAAGGTCAGAACTTTCTGGATTTTAGAAAAATATTGTATATATCATATATTATTCAATATTGCTGTGGGGTCAGAGGCAGTACTCTGTACTTTAAACACATTGTATTTCTGCAGTGAAACAAATGATAATCACACTAAGCAGATTAAATGAAAGACATAGAAGTTTTTACATCGATTCAAGGTTTTGCTGCCAAATTTGTTCCTGCTGTTGTTGTTTTAACATTTCATTTTGCTAATAAGAGGTTATAAACCTGAATATCTTTCTTTTCAGAATCAAATCCAATAGTTAAATACATAAAATATATTTTAAAGAATCCTTAATTTTTTTCTGCTTCATGGAAATGAACCATCATAATTTGAAACCCTTTTCTTTATGAATCTGAGTAACTGAGGTTGATTTGGATTTATATAAAAATAATTTTTGTCAAATTTGAAATTAGAATTACATTTCTGCACTTCCAACCTCCTTCTAGAAGCTCTGTTTAAAAAAAAATTTTTTTTTTTTTTTTGGCTTATCAAGAAGCCCAAAACCGTGGAGCCTTGGAGTCCAGCCTGCTAATTGATGTCAGCTTTTATGGTTGGTGGGACTAAAATACACTGTACTATCCTAGCAAATGCTTCATCCATTCTGATATCCACTTTGGGCTCCTGAATGTAAGAGATGGCTATGCAGAATCTGTTCTGAAATATTTTAGAAGGATATAAAGAAAAGTTCCTCCTTAAAGTCTGAATCCCCATTTGTTTCTGTCTGCCTAGAAATTTGCTTGCTTAGAAATTTGCCTACAAGATGGTGTCAGCAAATATATGAAAAAATAAATGTGAACACACAATTAGCCTAAAGTTGCACTGCCTAGAAATTTCAGTGTAAACTTCATTCACCTCTTCCCTCATCACATGTGTATTTGAAACCTATGAGTGTCAAAAACTATGGTAGACATTAGAATGATGACTAAATCATGGGTCCTACTATCAGGGAGCTCACATCCCAGTGGGGATGATGGTAAGTAATTGAAGTCTGTCCCCCTTTTCAAGGTTAGCTCCTTCTGATACTTTATGGAAACATCAGTAAGAGGCTGGTGCTGAAGATTGAATCTAATGTCACCTTCCCTCCCCCAAATTTTGCCATTATTATCTTGTTTATTATTTTTTATTTTCTTTCACTAGGACAGTAAGCTCCATTAAAGCTGTTTTTGTGTGTATGTGACCATGAAAGCAGTGGAGTATTATTGTAAGGTTTTAAGTGCAATCATAATAATACTTTGGAAAGATCATTCTGCTTATAGTGTGGAAGGAGGCTGTTGCAGACGAAAGATTATGATGATCTGGGCTAGCTAAGCTCTCTGTACTAGGTTTCAGAAGAAGCTGATGAATTCAGGAGATATTAGGCAGGAATTTAGGATATTAGGTAGATATTAGGTAGAAAGCTAAAGGATTTGTGATGAATCAGATGTTGAAGAGAAGTCTGGAAATTGTCAGTGGTGCTGTCCAGACATGTGATACAGGCACAGATAAGGTGGTGGTGCTCTTCATGGAGAAAGGAACATATTGAGGAAGGATAGTTACATTGAGTATGAGTCACTGTGGAAGACTGGACTGAAACTATCCAGTGGGAATTGGATTAAATTGTCTAGACTTCAGAAGAGACAGAGAACTGTTTATTCCCAAAATAGGGGACCACTAAAGATTTCCAGTAGAGAACAGATATCATTTGATTTATATGTTGGAAAGATCTGTGTGTTAGCCATATGAAGTGATTTGGAGGAATAAAACTAAATATATGGAAATTGATGAAGACATTTTTGAAATAATTCAGGTAAGAAAATACACATGTCAGCGGCAGGAGGTACCTAGCAGAAGGGTAGATTCAAAATATATTTAGAGGATGAAGAGATTATAAATAGTTGTGGAGTGGGGGACGGGTGTGAAGTCATTCTCCCAGGCTATGGCTAAGGAGGTATGGTGACAGGGAGTATAGATGAGGGAGGAGCAGATTTCAGTGGAGGTGAGAAAAGGGGTGGTTTCTGTTTTCAGATACATTTTTTGTGCCTATTGGAGATGTCGCTAGAGTTTGAGGTTCACGACTTATCTAGGCTGGAGATATGTTTTACAGTTGTCAATGTGTACATCATAGGTGAAGCCATAGAAGTAGATGAGATCACCTCAGAGAATAAGAACAGAAGGAAATGTGGGATTTAAAGCAGAGTGGAGAAAGAAGAGTTGGGACAGATCAAGGAACTGAAAAGGAGCCTCAGAAGTGATTAAAGAGATAGGAATACTTGGAGAATAGTAGAAGGAAAGTTCAAGGAAGAGAAAGTTTCAAAAAGGGAATGGCCAGGTAATATTAGATATTTCTAAGGACTCAGGAAATACCGGGGAAGTTGTCCAATGAATGGACTGGTAGAAGATCCCGTGCATCGCATGGACAACCCATGGTAGTACCAGTCCTCTTGGCCTTGTGAATTTACTTTTCTACTCCACAGCTGGGAGGTAGAACAAAGCTGAGAAAGCAGACAATGGAATTAATACCCTGAACTGAAATTTTTCCAAGTAGGCTGCTTATAAGGTCAAGAGAGTAAATTAGTTAAAGTTTTGAAGAAAGGCAGGCTGAAATAAAGGATTATATAATATTAATGGTTTTGATTAATGTACTAGTCAGGACATTAGGAGAAGTTAACTAACAAACAACACCAGAATTTCAGTAGCTTAGTAACAATTTAATTCACCTTGCTATAACAAGTCAATAAAACTCCTCTAGGTGGGGCTGGATTGAGGCATCCTTGCTTCACGTGATCAGTCATGGACTTTCAATTTCCTTTCATTCTTCAAATAGATAGGAAAGAAACAAGCCTGAGTGAGGGAGATTTATAAGGACCAGGCTGGAAGCGGCACACATCTTTTCCATTTCCATTCCATTGACCAGAATTCAGTCATGGCCTCACCTCACTGCAAAGGAAACAGGAAAATATAATCTGAGATTGGACCCAGAAAAAAGAAAAGACAAAAGATGATATTTATTGAAGATTGAAAGACAACCGGCAAACCAGGGCACTGTTTTTTGTGGTTTTTTTTTTTTTTGAAATTAGAGAAAATATGTACCAGAATTAAGGGGGGAAATGGTAGGGTTGGAGGTTGAAGTCAGTGAACGGGATGTCTTATCTCAAGGTTTAGGAGGAAAGAGAATGCCACCTTAAAGTCATAGATGTTATTGGAATAAGAAGGAACAGACATTGGAGGAGAGGAATGGCAAATGATAGCTACAGATATTTGTGAAATGCTGTCTTCAGAAGGTCTGTGTAGTAAAGAGAAAGAGCGATGAAATTTTCTGGAATTGAATGTGTTAAGGGTTGGGATATATTGAGGCTAGGCGAATTGATGTGGCTTTTACATGAGCAGGAAGACACAGCTGACATGCTCCGTGGCCCAAACTGCATCCACTTGCAGTTGTATAACTAGGAAGACCTTCTCCTTTGGCAGGGAGCAGAGCAGGTTCTTACAGGGCACTTCCTAATGCCTTGTTATCCATTTTGTTTCCCACCAATGTGCCTTCTGTTACTGTA